GAATGAATCTTGACAATTCTTAAGTTATGTAAATTGTATAATGTTTTTGGGAGGTTTAGAAGATGATTAGCCTAATGGAGATTAGGTAGTCATCAAGTCTATTGTCTACGCATGGTACGATACTACTACTACTAGTACTACTACTACTACTACTACTACTACTACTACTACTACTACTACTACTACTACTACTACTACTACTAATACTAATACTAATACTACTACTATTACTAGGCCATATAAAAAACAAATGAAATTTCTCAAAGAGTAAAATTTTATAGTCTATATTACAATTATCTTACTAGTCAAGTTTGTAAAATACGAGATTTAATATGCGATATATGATAATTATATTTTTCATAATTTTATATTGGAAATTTTTAGATTGTTAGATGAAAATAATTCACATATATGAAAATTGTTTATACGTAATTCATATTTCATATTTGAACATAAAGATGAATTGTTTATAATATTAAAAGCCTTTTTTATATAATGAAAGTACATGAATGCATTAATATTTTTCAGTAATAAATATTTGTATTAGGAATTAATTCAAAATCAACATTGAGAAATATAATTAATATAAATTTATTGTATACGTTAATTATATGAATCAAATTATAATTGATTTCATTTAATGATCATAATGAATTCATATAATTAATCCGAAACGTTTTATTTAAAGCATAATGATAAGGTATTTCTGATGCTTTAGAGTCTTCCGATATATTTAGAATATCATTTGGGAAAGGATTTCTTATAGAATTTCTATGACAAAGTATTCTAAGCAAAATTAGATAGAGAAACATTTATATGTATGTAGATTTTGTCTATGCGTAGAGTAGAAGTTTAATTTAAGTTTATAACACTGTATGCATAATACCTATACTATGCCAAATATATGTAATATTATCAATGTAATATTTATTATTTTATATTGAATTATTTTGTACTTCTGTAGAAGTTGTGATAAGAATAGAAACAAGTTCAATAAGTATTAAAGGAACGGCAATGCGTATAATACTGTACAATATTATATATTAATACAATTTTGGAATAGAGTTTTACATTATTTGATATATTATGGATGTAAGTAATTTTAAACGAACCTTCCCTTTTATTTAACGTATTTCTTCATTTTGCTTAACAATTACATTAAATTTCTAACAATGATCAATCATCATGTTATTTTATAATTATAAATGGTTGTATATATTAATTTACTCATTATTTATTATTTTATAAAAAATCATTTTCATTCTAAAATACTTTAGTCGAAAATGTGTTTTAAGAAGCATTAATTAACTTTAGTATTTGAGTCTTTTAATTAATATTCTATAAAAATTAATTTACTTTGTATCAAGTGCGTTTGTACAGACTTGAGAAACTATGTCGCGACTATGGTAAATATAGGCGTTCAATTAATTTCTGAGGATTCTTACGAGATGAATATTATTAATAACCTTGAGATGTGGGATTTTAATTGAGATGTTATAAGTTAATCAATACAAGCCAATTTATACATTATTAGTTACATATAAAATTATTTGTTACATTAATAGCCCCTTTGTTATTAATATTATTAGTATTATATGTACATACAGATATGTATAGGTATTAGTTTTACATACATACAGATCGTGTAAATCTTATTAGCTATATATACGAAGGTCATCCAATAGTATAAATTATTTGTATAATGAAATTTGTTACAGTTGTATTATTTACTTTAACCATATTAGAAATCACTATAAAGATAAATTTGAATTGTATACTCGAAGCAAGAATAAGAGCATTACGAAGTTTTATAGATATTAAGATGACAACTATTTTAATTATTGTCAATAAGGGAAGACGCGGGTTAGTGTTACCAATGCCGATACCAAATAAATAAATCCTTCATTTTCTAAATCAAGATAAGCTTTTATTTTCCAAAATCGAGTCAAGGACGGTATTGTATAAAATATTTTTTTATGACGATATTAAAGTAAAAATAATTGGATCTTATCGGGTGGATCATCGAGATCATAAATTATTGGGGTTTATATTTATAGTGGAGTGGTACATATATGAATAATAATAAATAATTTAAATTGGTCTATAAATGTGCAATATTACGGTGAATATAAAATTTTGTCGACATATACTCTAGATAGTGTATAAGGACACTTTAATGACGATATCGCGAGATATTTTTCGACGATTTTAATATCTACGATTATGAAAATCAAACAAAAATGTTGAATAATGCAAATGAAAAAAAAAAAAAAAATATATATATACAGGCGTTAGTATGAAACGTCAGATGGAACTATTTTTCCTTAATTAGATTAAAATTACGCACATTAATAAGTCAGAAGTAGCTTAATCCCAGGAAAATGATCATTCGTTAAATGTGCTTAGATCTAGCTATTGAACTTTTTCTGCACACAACGAACAAAGTACCCGCTTAACTATTTATAATAATAATAATTTGTCAAATGCTTACCTGGGCCATGTGTAAACGCCCGAAACCTCGAAGCCATAATGCCAGCTACCGGAGTAAGCCCCTTGACCTTTAGGGCCCGTACAGACCCCGTGTCCATGGGCTTTGCCATCCTCCCAACCGCCACAGTACGTACCCCCGTCATCGAAATCAAAGCGGCCCCCATTGACATGGGCCCTGTTCGGCCCAGTAACGCCGCTTGGGCCTTGCTGCTGATGTCCAGGACTCTGAGGCAGCTGGGCCCCCCCGGCAAGGCCATTCTGGGCACTGGTTAGCTGTTGCTGCGATTGTTGTGGATTCTGCTGATGCATCTCTGCTGCGGGCCGGCTGAATCCGAGGGCCTCGAGACTTTAAAGCCTCGCTCCAAGCCGAGCTTTCAGTCTATTAGCGACCAGAGAAGCTCGATGCTGCTGATGCTCCTCCTTTTGTTGCCGCTGTTGCTCTTGATGATGCTGTTGCTGCTGTTGTTGTTTCTGCTGCTGCTGATGCTGCTGCTGCTGCTTATGCGGCGGCTGCTGCTGCTGCTGCTTATTATGCGGCGGCTGCTGCTGCTGCTGCTGCTCCTGCTCCTGCTCCTCTTCGCGAAACTTTCTTCTTCCATCCTCGAGCTCGACTGCGCTATCTGCGTCTGCATGTTAAAAAAAAAAAAAAAGAATAATAATAATGAAAGATATAATAAAAAGAAAAATCAAGTAGCATTCTACATCAGTCGATGCTCATGACCAAAGTTCACTATAGTAAATCTAATAAATTTCTTTTTTTCTGCCGATGCTCCATCAAACTTTACGTACAATAATGCAAATGTCAATGATAATGTAGCTTTTTCAAGAAATTCTATCAATACGACTATTGGCTAGTGAGAATTGCTTAAAAGAGTTTATCAAACATATTGTTGAATTTTTAATTCACAAAATCATTTTAGTAAAATAAAAATTGTTAAATTCAGTAAAATATTAGGATTGGTTAAATTTACGGGGCATTTAATACATAAAAGATTCTCTTTTTCGGATTATTCTTTTATGCATAAGAAATCGAGCCTTATTAATAATTATAGTCACATTATAATTTATATATATTACGACTTTAGGACGTTTTTTAAATATATTTTGATATTCTATTTTTTTTATATCTATTTTATGCATTAATTAGAAAAAAATCTCTAAAATAAAATTCTATCTTTATAGTATATTGTTGTTTGCATTATGAAATAATTAAAATAATAAGGCAATAATTTTGATTATAATCATCTATTTATGAGGATATGCGATAAAAGGAAATAGTAAAGCCAAGAACAAACATTTTTATAACATTTTTATGACATTATGCTAATTTTCCTTATATTTATTATTCTCTAAATTAGAATTAATAAATAAGTTATTATATGTCGATTAAGCTCGTAATCCAAGTTTTGCCAGTTAGTATTTCAATCACAACTTTCTACCTAATGGCCTAAGTTATAATTTACAACCGTAACTAATAAGATCAGATAATAAATTATTCTCGGACAATATAGAACATAATTAATATGCTCGGGTCTTAATGCTTATTATTACTAATAATTGAAAATAATTAAGAAATCAATGTTTAACATGTTTTATATGATAAACAATATTTTGCTTTATATTACATGATAACTGATAACTTAGATTTAGAATGGGTCATCTCTTTACTTAATAAATTCATATTGTTTACTTTACAATTCTACAATTCTACAATTAAGTATTGGAATAAGAATATTATTATAATCAGTGAATATATAATTTTACTTTCTATAAGAATTTAGACGCACGTTGTCATCTCGAAATATATTAAACATGAGGGATTTTTTTTTTTTTTATAATATATATGTAATATTGAAAGCATATAACATTTCAATATTTCGAATGTTGTACGTAAAATTTACAGGAATAAAATATACTATTAGATATTAAATTAAAATGTATTTGATATAATTAATCAAATTATACAATATTGCAAATAAGCATGAAATATATTCAGAAAAAATTTTTATCTAAAATTTCTATAATAATTCTTAATGTATGTTATTGTTTATAAATATTTTTTTCAATTACGGAATTACTGAGCATTTACCATATTTTTTATCGCGATAATTATTATTTTTGTAATTTTATTGAAAATTAAAGTTGAGAGAGAAGAGCACATACGAAAACAGAATTTGTCATTCAAATTATATATTAAATATATAAAGAAGCTCATACTTGATCAGATAGTAGCTATTTAATTGTGTAATAATAAGCAAATTAATTCATTATGTAGTATACATAATTCTAATTTCGTTCTATGTTTATGAAAGAGATATTTTTATTACTTCATTTTAGTATTTAGTAATAAATTTTTCTTACATATAAATTTACGTATAATTTTCATAAGAAATTAATATAACGGATAAATTAATCGAATAATTTAAAAATGTGAACTTTTTTAAAGAGTTAATATGCATATATAATTTGAACATAAAAATACCACGAAGTTATCAATATATATTACCCCCGCAATCGTAAACTAATGGTATATTATATTTATGAAAGAAAGTTCATGTTTTTGGAAGTAATAAATTTAATAGCTGAATCTTTTATATTTAAATAAATAATATCCTCATTTTTATCAATAATTCATAGTTAATTGTTATGTTTCCGAACTGAATAATGTAAGTTCCTTTTATACATACAATAAAATTGTATAAGATATTATTTCAATTTCTATTCATTTAATTTTAGAATTATGTCCAATAAAATATTTATTATGTAATTTAAATATAGAATTGTATTTTTAAAAACGATTATTTTTATTTTCACTAATATATTTTATATGACAGTAAAATTGATATATAATTAATTTGAAGAAAAAAGAAAAAATTAATAGAAAAAGAAGATCAAACATTATTAGTATTAAAAATATCTACTTTTTCTAAAATTTAAAATAATGACAGTAATGTAAAAATTACAATATATTCTTTCTTTTTCGGTTATTATAATTATTTTTGTTTGAAATGTAAACTAATAATATTGTATATTATATGCTCTATCGATACCATATTACAATAAGTTTTAATTGTGATTTAATTTTGATAAATTTACCTATAATATAGAAATATATCGAAAAATATTGTTTATATAGTTTAGAGTATAATGTCATTCAAAATTAATAGTTTTACTTAATTTATACACTTGTAGTTGAATTATATTTTACAACAGATCGCATTATATTTCTATAAATTAAAAAATTAAGTGAAAATGTTTGAAAATTCTTGATACTCTCTTTCTTTAATGTATGCTATTCAATGATATATAGTACAGAACAACAAATGTACGCGTGGAATATTTTTTAGAAAGATGTTAGAAATTTTTTTGATAATAATATAGACATTCAATAGTATGAATATATAATGTAAATCATTATATTTCTTATTCTCTTCGATTATTTTAAGTATTTACTTACAGAAAGTTATGAAGATATAGATGCTATATTTCGAGAACTTTTGTTTCTTGCAAAGTTGGTCAAGGTATGAATAATCGGGTTGCTTTTGTAATTAAATATTATAAATACAAAACTGTAGATAAATATATTGTATTTGTTTATGGAAAATTTTTATACATTTAGAATAATTTTATAGCGAATAATTCATTTTTCATTGTCTAATGATAGTATTAAAAATAATAATACTAACAATAACTACAACGATAAACATAATTATAATACGAATGATAATAATCAACAAAGATAATAATAATAATAATGATGACGATAACGAAGACGACGACGACGACGATGATAATGGCAGCAACAACAACGACGACAACAATAACAACAATAACAATATTAATGATTGTCACAACGACGAGGTCGATGAGGACGATAGCAATGATGTTCGACGATAATAATAATATTAATTGATGTAGTGCAATTATCTGTAGAACAAAATGTTCAATTAAGTATGAATTAAAATCAGTTTGATTTACCAAATATTCATCGAAACCTTCAATTGAGAAAAGTTATTTATTTTAAAATAAAGGCACAATTATATTTTGGAACTTTGAAAAAGTAAAGTAATTTAAAATTTTGATTTTTAAATATACAATTGGATACTTTAACATTATACTTTCATTTGAAATTGATCATAAAATTTGTTCTCTAATTGGCTTTTAATTAATTACATTATTTTTATTTTAACGATATATTATATCTGTATTTGTTAATAAGAGAATCGTACGAATGTCAACGATACAGGTAATTTAAATTAAATGTTCCAGCTTATACGAAATATTTACTTTCGCATACTATTTATAAGTGTCGAATACCTACATACAAACTATACTCATCTCATACATTACATCATAGAAAAAACAATTTCAGCTCTGAATTTTGCACATAACGCGGTAAAATTTTCAAGCAAATTTATTTACACATTATCATATTGATAATATTAAAAATGTGTTATAAAAGGTATGAAATGAAGAGACGCTTAAAGTAACGTGTAAATATTCAAAAGAAATGGCAAGATTGAATATTCCTAGAACCTTTAAAGATAATAAATGCTGTGTAGAATATTATTACGTAAACATCATTCGCTTATAACTAATTTATCGCAGATGACAGAAAGGATAATAAGTTACACTAATAAATAATAGTATTAGTCTAACACATTGATTCGATTATTCGTCGTCATTGGCAAAGATGGCGACTTTGTGCTCTTGGCATTCGCGATCTTATTAAGTTTTCTTCTTCGAATGCATTGGCGTCGTATTGTGCTTAAAGAAATTTCTTTAAGGGAATTTACGTGATCCGTAAGTGGGAGAGAAAAAGATATGAATCTTTATTCTAGGATGGGAATATATTTTTAATTATTGCTCTTTTTCTTTGCTTTTCACTTTTTTATTTGCTTTATGTGTATGAAGATAAACTCACGCAACAGCGGATTTGAGTTTAAAATTTGAGTCTCTTCTTGTGCGTATCTGTTACGCAATACTTCTATTAACATCCGTGATCCGCTAGAAATATGGTTCCACGAACAATCTAATAAATATTATAATATATATCTCATTTTTCGACTATTTGTTAAATTTGGCACAGCGAATATTTTTATTAAATAATTTGCAATTAATTCTCGTTAAAGGTAAATATAAGAATGGGTTAAATTAAATTTCACTGTGAAAATAAGTTTTCTGATCTCGAATTTGCTCAAATTTAAAGAAATATAAATTTCTTGATGTAAAGTTGATTTTGTTAAATTTTGCTCGGATATAATTTATAATCCATTTATATAACCAAATAGATGAAAATTGTAAAACTGATAAATATAGAAAACCTGAAATTTTTGCGTTGTATTAATTTATGAAACTACTTGATATTTGTGAAAAATATTTTAAACATACAAAGTTAATTTGAATATAAATCTTATCTAACATGCAATAAAAGATTAAATATTACATATATTTTTGTATATTTAATTTTGGATACAATACGTGTGACATTTTCCTCGAATAAAATGCTTAAAATATGTATTGATTTAATAATTTTTCTAAAATTATCATAGAAATTCAAATAATTTAGTTTAAATGCTAAAACAATAGCTAAATTTGGACACTCGAGGAATAATTTATTTCATCGGAATGAATTTCAATCGGAATAATGAAAAGAGACTCCTGCGTTTTTTTAAACTATACATTCGTAATAATTGAAATTTTGTAAAATGAATATTTAAAAATTGTTAAAAAAATAAAAAAAATTAACAAATACATCGTTTAACCGACCATTTTTACGCATTTTGTAATATTTCGTTATTATGGTATTAATTATGGTTATTTTAATGAAAACAACTACATTTTATTAAAATAAAAAAAATTATAAATATATTATAAATAAATTATAATTTTCTCTATTTAATGTTATAGCTGGAATTCTACTTTTAATAATATAAGTACTTTCAACCAGCCATTTTCTTCGCTCATAGAATTAGAGGTTAACGTTTAAAACTGCCAATTATATGTATTCTTTTTCTTTACATAAGGATGAATTATCACGAATATTAATAGTATTAGAAGAGAAGAAGAGAAACAAGAAGAAATGAAAAAAGAAAAGGAAACGCCGAAGAACGTGATGAAGTAGACGACTAAACTAGATAGAGGTGAGGTTTTAGAGCTCTAGGTTACTAGCTAGCCGGAGCTACTATTTTTACCATGGGGTGCGCGAATTGTTTTCCGCCTTAGAGAATAGACGACGAGCGAAAGAGATAGCGAGGAGGGGTGGGTGGGTGGTGTGCGCGTGTGTTTGTGTGTGTAATAGGAGGAGGAGGAGGAGGAGGAGGAGGAGAGGTCAGAAAGAGAGAGGGAGTGAGGTGTTGGTGGGAAGGTAGTGATGAGAGAATAAGGGAAAATGAGAGAGTAAGGGAGAAAGAGAAATAAATACCATCAGTGACTATTGCTACTACTCCTTCTGCTTTTGCTTTTGCTTCTGCTTCTGCTTCTGCTTCTGTTTCTTTTGCTGCTGCTGCTGCTGCTGCCGCTGCTGCTGCTGCTGCTGCTGCGCCTCGTGGCAGAAGTAGCAGTTGTTCGCCAATGCGACGGCCGGGTTCAAACAATTTATAAATAGTTTAAGTCACGGCATGCAGAGAAAATCGGTGCGAACATAGTATAAGCTACGCAAGAGAAAGAAAGATATAAAGAAAAAGTATGAACAATCATGTGGCTATCGCAGTAATCATAAGATCAATGCTCAATCGAACGACTCGCAAATGTTTTATTTAAAAAAATCTCGTGTGAATTTCTATTTACCTAGAGCCCTTATTCACCTTCTTCAAATTAATAATACTCGAACGATATAATTTAAACTATTTTTATAGGTATGTTTTTTTTTTAGACAGGTTCATCTTCAAAATAATTAATAATGAATGGATTGTATGTATGCGAGTTAAATGGTTACGGCAGTCTTTCCGTAACTTTTAGATAATTGGATAATAAATTTTAGCTTTTAGACGATTCTTTTACATCTTTAGTTATAAACAAAAATCGCACGAATATTAGGAATAGCACAGCTACATCGACATTTGTGTTAAAATTTATTATAGTTCATAGATCGGTTATGTAGAAATTCACTATAATTTCAGTAGTGTATTATGTCACGACTTTACTTTACTCTCTCTCTCTCTCTCTCTCTCTCTCTTTCATCTCCTCTAGCAAGCAATTTCTCCTTCTTTCTGTTCAATTTGCGCTTAATAAAACATCAACGACGATTTGCCTATTATTTCAAAATTTAATTATTCAAATGCAAATACACTACATTTCTCATTTCACAGCAATCGACTTACTAGCCATGTAAAATCTATATGATAAAATACTTCGTTCAGAAATTTAAGTCCTTCTGTTAGATAATATTTTAAATGTCGTATTAAGGGAAGTTCTTGATTGAATTTCTTAATAAAATATTGGATTCTGCAATATAATATACCAATCTATATATTTTACATAGACTGTATCGGACAATTAATCCTAACCTTTAATATCCTATCGGTTATTATTATTTTTCATTACTTTATGGCCTTACCCATACAACGGCATTATTTTTTTTTTCTCGCGATAGGAGGTATCTATCGATCTCCCTTTGCTTCGCTGTGTGCTGCCTCTCGCAGCTTATTGCATGAAACACGTGCACTCATTTAATCGCGCACTCACAATTTTTCCTGCCTTTTCTACCTCTCTTTTCCTTCTTCTTCTTCTTCTTCCTTTCTCTCGTCTCTTTTCTCGATCTGCTTTTATTAATATTTTACGAAGAAAAAACAATAAAATAATAAACAAAAACAAAAAAAAAAGAACAAAACAAACCACCAAAAAAAAAAAAAATCAAAAGTAAGAAAGGAAGAATGAAAAAAGATAATAAAAAACGGTGCAAGTAATACGGCTTTCACTCACTGCATTTAAATTTTATTACTCGTACATGTAATTGATCGTGTTACTAGCAACGCGCACCCGTACCAGCTTGAAACTGGAAATTTTGCTGTTAAAAACTTAAAGGAAGAACACAAGATCTAATAGTAGCAGCATCACCAGCATCAACAGCAGCAGCAACAGCAACAACAGCATCAGTAGCAGCTACAGCAGCAACAGTAGTAACAGTCGTAGTAGTAGTTGAAGTCGTAGAAGTAATAGTAATAATATGAATATTAGTAGATACCGTGTTTTCCTCCACGTCGTTGTGGCATGGAAAAACCGAGTCTTTCAAGTTCCTTTCGTCAAATTCTGTGGAATTCGTTTCATTTGCTTTATTCTCAAAATCCCATTCTACTCTCTATACGAGTTTACCCCTTAGTTTCCCTTTTTTTTTCCAGTTCATTTAATAATCTCCATCCATAATAGCAGAACCCCTGTTAAGCTCAAGTTTTTCCTGTTCCCTTCGTTTTCTTGTCGTTATGTTTTATCGTTCTCGGTAGTTCGTATATAGTAGTCGTCGTACTGGAGCACAGTCGTCATGCATCTCTTTCCGTTTCGTTTCTCGTCCTTAGCGTTCACCCTTCCAACCACCGCTGTTTGCTTTTCCCTTACACTTGGGCAACGTGCCCCATACAAATTTTCTATTACACCGTAAGAAAGAAAGAGACACAAGCACAGCACACTTTTAGCAGTACGGGAAACGCGAGCTTTTACGCCCGGTTGGTGGCATGATTGCGACTACCTCGAAAGTAGTCGACGTTGGCGCTGTCCTCGCTCGCTCCCTTACTCGTTCACCCGCTAGCTGCCGCCGCCGCCGCTGCCGCCGCTGCCACCGCCACCGCCGCCGTTGCCGCCGCCACCGTCACCGCCACCGCCACCACCACCACCACCACCGCTGTCACGAACGCCGTGGCGTCGCGACGCTTGACCAAGATGCAAAGACATAGAGAGAAACAGAGGAGGAAAGAAAGACATAGGAGAGAGAGAGAGAGAGAGAGAGAGAGAGAGAGAGAGAGAGAGAGAGAGAGAGAAAGGGGCTAAACACATGCGCCGTACAAGTACCAAGTATATCCGCCGGTACACAAACGGCACTTATCTACTTCGTGCATTGTCCGTCCTTCACTCTCCTTAAATAACGTTCTTTCAATTTTCTTCTGAATTTTTATTAAATTAAAACATCTCTGATAATATTTATTCGTTAAAAGAGTATTATATGATGACAAGAAGAATTACTTTATTATCAAAAGCTATAACGAGAATAATGAAATAATAATTATTTACGTATGTGTTCTATATTTATAATTATTGCTTGTTATTTTCTGTAAATAAAACTTTCTCATAATATGTTATTTTATGTAGGTAGAGAAATATATTTTTATGTATAAGTTTAAAAGAAATTTATTTAATGAATAAATAATAGATCGCTAAAGAACAATTTAGAATAATTCTATATTATAAAATGCGCGTTATAAAAGTGTATATCTCGGTATATATCACAAACACATATCTTATCAAATATTACAATTGTTAAGGTATTATCAAAAGTTGTTATCAAACAATTTTATAATTTATGTTCAGCACTAATTTCTTAAATATTCATTAATTATATATATATATTATATATTATATATATTATATATATATATAATATATTTGTAAATACAAGAATAAAATACATTAATGAATATTTAAGAAATTAGTGCTGAACATAAATTATAAAATTGTGAATAATCCAAAATGTTTTAAAACCAATTTTATTCTACGGTTGTTTAAATGAGGTTCATATTGCCTTAAACCGATAAATGAAAAAAAACTTAATCCAACAGAGATTATGTGAATAGATCGTAAGATGGCAGCACCTTAGCATCATATTAGTTACTTTTAAAAGTACATATTCACTGTACTTTTTAGCTCAGATAGACTACGTTTTCTGAAAAGTAAAAACAAATAAAAATGAATCGTTTAATATTTAATTATTTTATTTTTGTTAAATGGGAGTACCTATAATATAACAGGTTCTCTATATGTGTTATATAAGTCAAGATTCCAAAGTTAAAATGTTGTTTCCAAAAAATTATTAAAAATATAATCAGTGACGTAAAGATGTATTATGTAATATAAGGAAAAGAGTATTAAATATACTCGTGCTTTAAAAAGCACGTATTTGTGAAAGTTTGTATAATTAAATATTTGATATTCTATTTGTTATTAAGATACGATATTGTAGAGAGAAATTTTTTATTCACTTTGATTTTATACAATTTATAATAAACTGACATATATATATTACAAAACGATTTAATTATATAATGACGAAAGAATTATAATTATAAAATTTTTATTTAATATTAAATATTGAATTATTATGAAATAAATATCTTTTAGTTAATTAAAATTCATATGTGCAATAGCAAATGCTTTTAATAAAATCAAATTCTGAAATCAATATTTATTATTTATTATAAGTAATATATATATATCTGCCTCTGTGTGTGTGTGTGTGTGTGTGCGTGCGCGCGTGTGTGTATAGATATGTATGTATGCGTATATATGTGTGCGCGCGCGTGAACCTCTTTATTTTCGTAATATTACTATTAAATATATATAGCACGTAATATTGAAAATAGTATAAATTAATAAAAAAAAAATTCTCTCCTCGTTTGAATATTAATAAAGTTCGATATTAAATTTACTCAGCCAATGTCCTACCGCAATCTACGTATTTATCCATTACCTGCATTTAGTTTCTTTGGTCAACGTACCATCGTTTTAAATTATCTATTCAGCAAGATGTAGTAGAGACCCTCGTGAATGTGTCAGGTTTCAACGAGTAATGGAATTATATTCTAGCACCTCTCTTCCTCTCTCTCTCTCTCTCTCTCTCTCTCTCTCTCTCTCTCTCTCTCATTTTCTATCTTCCTCTTTGTTCTATAAGGAATTGATTTCTACAGTGTACATGTCCCTCAGTACGTGAAGAAATGTCCCTCGATAAACAACCCGATCAAACTTCTTTGTCTTTGTAAGTTTAACATATTTTTAAGCTAAAATGTGCTTCAACATCAATTGAAATGTCAATTGAGAATAGGATAGAAAGAAATCTGAATGGGTCCAACGAAACAAAAATCTTTTTATCCAATAAATTGACTTATTTTAAACCTACGAGACTAGTTTATACAAAATATTATAGATTTTTCTGTATTTTTTTTTCTCTTTAATTTATTTTTATTGCTAAATGCATAATTAAGCATTACCACAAAGTAATATTAGCAAATCTGAGAATATCTATTAAATTAACTAGAAACCGTTTTACATCGTAAAACAATAATTGATAAGATTCGTGTATTTAGCTTGATAATTTACGATTCTTTAGATCGACGCGGAGACAAGTTGATCTCTTATTCTCCGTATCGAATCCTCCAGCAGTTATACGATGCTCTATTAAATAGCAATATAATTACGTTTGTGCAGTAAAGACTTGGATACCGAGGCGAACGCTGTGCAGTTAAAGAATGCAGAATCAATGGAGCTATCAACTCTATCATCTCTGAACTTTGGTGGTCTGAATATTCTTGAGCAATCATTAAACCATGCAAAAGATAGCCTGAGTAAAGGTCCTGAGCTAAAGCGTCGAAATGGATCAATGAAGGACGAAACGGAGAAAGAGATCCCGATAATATCGTTGAACGAGGTGTCCTGGCACGATACTGTTGATGATTGCTGGTTAGTCATTTGCGATTACGTCTATAATTGCACCGACTTCATCCATAAACATCCAGGTAGTCAAGATGTGATGCTAGAGTACGCGGGCAGAGATGCTACTTTGGCCTTCGTCGGAACTGGGCATTCCGAATATGGCAAACGACTTCTTCAGAAGCTTCTTATTGGCGAACTACCACTTTCTGAAAGGATTTTCCGGACAAAAAATGGCATAAAAATTGTAGATTGCATTTGAATTATCTATTCATTATCTCACTTTCATTGGCAAATAAATAAACTCGATGTAAATTTCCACGATAAATATAAATAAGCATATATTTATAAGAAATCTTCTTTCTTACTAATTCTATAAAAATATAAGCATTTACAGTAGTTATATTATAAAATAGACATAAATTAACTTACATAAATTAGTTATTTAAGGGTTGAATTGTCTTGCTCGATTATTATTGTAATTATTATGTTTAAATTTCATTTAATTAATTAAATTCAATATTAAATTTAATAAGAAATGTAAAAATAATCCTTTTTAATAAAATAATAATGGTTATTATTGATTTGTATTAATATACTTATATAGTAATAATTATAATTAACGTTAATCTAATAAAAGAGCATCAGAAAGTATGCGATTAAGTATGCACTAATGAATGTCAATGTCAGTTAAGTGGCAAAAATTTGAAAAAAAATAAAAAAATTATTAACTAAAAATAAATGAAAATTGAGTTTTTTTTTTTTTTTTTAATTTAAAATTAAGTATGAGAAACTTTAGACGCTATAATAATTGTTAAATTATTTTAATATCTTCAAAAGAATATAAATAAGCTGTTTCTCTCGTTAATTATAATGTTCTATTCACTCTAATTATTTGGAAATATTAAAGTTAGAATATTTTACAACTTCGATATATATTGAATTTTGCACATATATATTATTTAAAATAAATCATTTATATGATATCTTCGAGCATTAAAGTATTTCAACATCTTGGATTTTTTTCCTTATGTAAGTTAAGAATATTTAATTTAACAAGATTGTTAAATCTTATACAAAGCTCATCCTAAAATAAAAGTTCATTTAACTTTCCTTATTTTTCGTTTTCTTATTTATAATGAAATAAAATTTTTTATAAAATATAAGGACACAAATTTTTAAATTTTTATAATTTAAGTAAATCTAAAATAATTGTAACAGTAATTTTGATATACTAAAGATATGAATTTAGGCATTATAATTTTAATATTTATTTTTGTAACTTTCGAAAATTTATTATTAAGATAATTCTATGTATGTTCTATCCAATTTATCATATTATGCAAGTACATAATTTAAGTATATTAAGAATATATTAATAAATTCTTAATAGTTACGTTAGTTCTTAGTTTATAAATTTCATAATTGTTCATATACTTTACTTATTATATTAGTGTAGATATTAATAATTTCTATTTAATATTCAGTGTATTATAATAATAACCAATTCACCTATTATTTGTTACTACTAAATGTTTTGATTTTAATCGTAAGTAAATTTTGGATAAACATTTGTCTCGTCTTATCTAAGTAAACTAAATAGAATGGGCTCCATGTTGATACGGTGAAAGAAAATATGATATTTACATCGGTAATAAAATTATTGATCTATATATTCTTACTCTCACGAAAGATATGTATTGTTTTGAAACTTGATAATTTGCGGTATTGACAGCTATCGTGAACGATATATAATTGCGCGTGTCCGTTTCATCATTAAACAATATATATATATATATATATATATATATATATATATACTAATTTATTACTTAATAGGAACAAGTCTTTTTGTAATTGTGTTAATCAGAGATTGAATAACCTGACGGAAGTAATTAATACTCTCTATACCTGATTATATCTTATATTTAAGATTCTAATTATAAAAAATCCGTATTTAATAAATATTTATTATAATTACTTTATTTTCCTAATGTTAAATATTAGCATTTAATCACAATATCATAATGTCTTTAATAATTCATGTAGCACTTAAGAATTATAAAAATTATTAAACTTAAGAAGTACAAATTAATGAATACAAATGTTTCCGTATATTGTACAATTATAAAAATAATCCGTGAAATAATAGCGAATTGTTACTCTATAAATGAATTTCTTAATTTATTAGGATCTTACTTAGTTAGATAATATATTAATTAAAAAAAATTAATCTGATTAACAGTTACACTAAAAAAAAAAAAAAAAAAAAAAAAAAAAAAAAAATTTGTAATATATCCCAGAATTTCATAAGAAAGAAATAGCATATTACGAGCATAAATAAGATGAAGGTTGTTCGATTTTAAAGGCTTAGTTTATGGCTCGAACTGCCAATTCAATAGTTCAGTGGATTAGTCTCTCGGCAGGATAACTTCAAAGGAAATAATAAGTGATAAGGCTGAAAAATATTATGTATTTAGTAAAAACAATGTTTATTATTTGTAAATGATTATAATAATATTGCACTGTTGTGTAGAGAGAAATAATTCTATTGAAGTAGCGAGGGTGTATTCTTGTATTCTTGAATTATTGTAGCTTCTTCCATGGATATGACTGAGTGAGTATCTTGAAGTTGAGGTAATGCTGATGTTGTAAATATCAGCTGGTGTAGTCATCAGTCAATCATGCTTGTGATGTAGCATGAGAAGATGATAGTTGAATCAAGTATGTTTGATGTATGAATAACTATACTTGATATGGTGTAAGATGTTTAATGGAATAAATATGTTAAGTAATCAATTGTGTCTTTAATTATTTTAAGGGAACGGTAGAAGAGCTAGTCACACACAAGTATTATTTATTATAAACCTTAGAAATCTTAAGGATTTCTGGAAAATGTCCTTACTGTTGATCAGTCGATATATTGAAGTCCGACCTTGACTTACTGTGTCACTGAGTTGACTATTTAAAGAATGCACGACCACGTTCTAATCACTTGGTGTTTATTTCAGGACATGCACGACCACGTGCTCATCACTTGTCGACTGCGCCAGGGGATGCGAAATTGCCCAGGTTTCTTGTGCTAGATGTGACTAATTTATTTATTAATATAAAGATAGGTACCTTGTAAGGTGTTGACAAATTCTGTTGATTGCTGTTTAATTACTGTTTCCTTTGATTACTATTTCATTGGCGTCACTGTAATCACTATCTACTCTGCCGATTTCCTTTTCGTATGCACGCGAGTACTTTTAACTATGATGCCGATTATATGGCCACGCGTCGTCTTCACACTATATAGTTAAACACTGAGCGGCAGTTACGCTTGAGTGAGTGCGAAGTGATATTACAAATGAGCGTATAAGCCTTTTGAATACGCGCACGAAAACCGAACGCTTGATCGTTCCGTGGTGGCGCTGCTGAAAATAACGACCGTTCCATGGCGGTCCTGCTGAGGGCAGATCGAGACCCGTGTGCCATGGCTTCTACTGGTAGATGGTTAGATCGGTTCACTATGGCCGGGTCAGGGCAAGATGTTAGCCGCAAGCGCAGTTGAGCGTGGGTGGTTCGGCAAGTGATTTTTAGCCAGAGAGATTTTCAGCAAGAGTGGTATCTTCAGCAAGAGAGGTACTTTCAGCAAGAGAGCGAGGCGCGCCGCGTGCGTCTTTTATATAGCCACGCGGCGGCTCACTTAGCTGACAACAAAACATCGTCGTTGTTGCACTAATTCTTACACGAGGCGTAGAAAGAAAAATTTAGAACCTTCGACAATTCGACGAAAGAAAAGTAGGAGTAATACTCTTGGGTGATCTTATAGTATATTATATTTCGGGTCGTAAACTTGCTTGGACTTGCAGAGTTTTGTTTATAAATATTCGCCCAAGTGCGCGTCCCGGTCATCACGTGTGGGCCAATCTAGGCGCACATGCGGTACGCCGGACAGCGCGTATGACCTTTCTTTTGTTTGAAATTCATGGGACTGCAGCAATCTCGAACGAAGGTGTTGGAAATTGTGGAAAACTTTCCCAAGGAAGGTGCAATCGTCACTCCACATAGAACATTATCTTTAACAACCCCGTTTGCCACTGCAGTGGCTAAAGTAAGTTTATCATGAGACAACGATACAAGCTCGTGTCTTAATCCATCAGACTCTGAAATCACGTTCGCAACAGAGAATCTGATGAAGAAGCTCAACATACCTCGTCAACGTTCCGTCATCCTCATCCATAGAATTGGCAGATCATTATTAACTGAAGCAGAAGGTGCTGTTTCATTCATCCTTTGATCAAATCATTCAAACTCCTCAGTCACTGTTCAAGCTCACATCCTTAACACATTACTGACCATAGTGAGTTCAAGACATCACGTTTGGCATGATCGCATCTGAGAAACCTAACACTAGCCGATCCAGAATATCTTACAACAAGGCCAATGGATATTGTTCTTGAAGCGGATGGGATATGGGCAGTTCATTAAGTCCAACATCATCAAGTATTCTCCATCCACGCCATTAGCTTCTCCAGTGTCCCATCATTAAATTCAATACTATCTGACACTTTATGGTATACTTAAACCAGATAGCACTACCAAAAATGTCCAGAGATTTACGACCAGACGTGTTAATCTGGATACGCCGACATGGACATCTGTTCGCTACATCATAAAAATGTATAGGCAGATACGAATTCACAAGAACGACTGAGACCTACGAGATATCCTTTGGATCGACGAACAAAACAAGGAAGTGCCATATCACCTGACAACAGTTACCTATAGCACGAGAGCCGCTCCATTTTTAGCAGTCAGAGCATTGTTGCAATTGGTAGAAGACGAGGGAGAGAAATACCCTTTGACTGTGCCATCAATCGCTCATGACAGATATGTTGATGACATCTTTGGAGGTGTAGACACGCCGCAAAAGCTACCACAAACCGTAATACAACTGCAGAACCTCTGCATGGCTGGCGCTTTCCCATTGGCAAAATGGCATTCGACTCATCGAGAGGTTCTCACCGCTATCAACGCAGCTAGGAAATAGAAATTAATAATTGCATTTCGGATTATAATGGAGTCCTCAAGAGGATGTACTCACCTTTTCAATAACAGTCTTAGTTGAAACTGATCGCATCAACAAATGACTCAGATCCAGGCTCTCTCAGCAGAACCACCACAGAAGGAACATGCGTTCAGTTTCGTGTGCGCATGCAACTAGATAACGGGCAGTGAAAGGGGATTGAAAGAATAATTCAAGCTGTATAATTTATAATTAAATAAATTTATAATTAAAGTATAACGTATAAGTTAGTTCGAGAAATATTCGAGTGAAGTCGTAGCAGGGAGA